CACGACGACGTCAATCGAAGAGATTATTAAACGGGACAGATTAAAATTCCCGTACCTGTTGTAATTCAAGTGCAGCTGAATAGAAATGACAGATTCAAAAGACCCGAGAGAGAAAGAGAGAGAGAAAGAGCCGGACATCTAGTTGGTAAAAAGCAATTACATAAAACGCAACACACTTCAGGGTTTCCTAATCCTATACTTTTCGTTTCCTTTCTCGGAATTGTCACGCGAGTGGATAATTCGATCGTTTCGCGGACTCGATGTCTGGTCTTAGATCGAAGGAGAGAGATAGAGAGAGACAGGGGCATCGACCGTGGGAACGCACCTGGTCGTTATCCGAAACCCGCCGAAAAAGGTAACATTTCTCGTCGAATTCGAGACTCTAGAAAAATATAATCGCGTCTTATAGTATCAAGCCTTTTTTTTTTTTTTTTTTTTTTTATTTAAGGCTTCACGGTTGCTTTGAAATAGGGTTAAACTCGATTGCACACGCGTGGATGGATTGTACGCGACGAAGCCGTGCAACACTTGGAAAGCAAAAAAATTAATTTTAAAGTAAAATAATATCACTTCTCTCTTTCAATTCTCTTTGCGATATGAGAAAGTAAGATAAGAAAGTAAGATAAGAAAGTGAGATAAGAAAGTAAGTCGTAAGATACATTAAAATATATTAAGCGAAGTAATTACACAAAGTAAAATAAAAGTTTGTAAAATTTGACGAAAAAATCTTATCGATTCGAAAACTTAACTTAAGACGAACGCCCGTGAGATGCGTCTGATAAATAATAATTAACGAAATCAAAATTCGCGATATAACACGAAGTGCAACAAAGTGGAACACGTGGCAATAGTTTTTTTTTTTTTTTGTTTTTTTTCGACCCCGAAATAAACCCCGCTCGAAACTCGACTTGACGAAGCTGATCCACACGTGCCGGATATCAATCCGAGCAACGAGAAGAGAGAGCATCCTTCTTTTATTCGCCGTTTCGTATTCATCGTCGGGAAGAGATGATTATGGCTTAAAGCTGTGTCCACACGCGAAGAGGAACGACGTATCGGTCCCGTCCATCGGTGGCCGGCACTGTTTAGTCACGCGGAAAGTCCTCGTTTCCATCGAGCGCGATTTACGAGCGCTCGTTTAAAATAAAAGAGAGTTCAAGCGCGCGAAAGAAGGTCGAAATATATAGTACGTAAGAATTACGGAGGAATCAAGAATAATATTTTCGCTTCTGCTCCCCACTAAGTGCGTGCTCCTTTGTGCAGAGCCTTTGAAAAAAAAAAAACCCTTTCATATACGTCCTGCGACGAGAGAGAACGAGAGACTCTTGTCGATTTCACCTTCCGGCGCTCGAAGTCGCTCGCATTACAACGGACAAGAATTCGCGAGCTTTCTCGGTAATGATTCGCGTTTTAGACGATTATATTCAGACAAAGAGATGGAAAGACACACGCGCAGCTTCCGCGTACGAATATTGGATGCGTGTATTCACCTCGATTCCGAGAACTCGTTTCCGAAGTCAATCGTACCCGAGGAGGAAAACTCGCCTCGCGCGTATGTAACCGGACGTGTATTATCGGCGTCTTTGCAACGCCATCAATAGAAGGCAGATTGAGCGCCGTGTAATTGGCGCGTTGGGAGCCGCTCGTTGGTTGCAGCGAGATCGTCCGCGACCGTGATCGACTATCTCGTTTCCTTTCTCTCTCTCGTTCTCTCTTTCTCTCTCTCTCTCTCTCTCTCTATACATATATATATATTCAGAGAGTGATTAACAGGCAACCCGAGTGCGGGAATGCGATCGTGAAATCATCTCCGCGATCACATTTTCCTCCGCGAATGAAAATTACATTTAATCGACCTTTGTTGCGATTATCTCGCGGTTACAAAGCGGTTCTTTTCTTTACAGCAAAACAGATGTGCGTAAAATGGAGCAGAAAATGATAGAAGCGTTGATGATAGAAAAGTGGTGTTCTCTCAACAATATGGCGCGCCGAGAATCGCGCTCGCGGGAAAAGCGCGGGTTCCATCTCGTCGTCGCTTTTCTTCGCTCTCGGGTGTGCTTCTTCTCTTTTCTATTCGAGGCAGATGTTTTCGAACCGCGTTCGGTCGTTCTCTCGGAAAAACTCGCGCGACATAAATTTTTCTCGTGTCCCGCTCGTGCGCACGATCTTTATACGTAGAGAGCGAGATATTTTAAAATAGACTCGTGGAAGCGCGTACAAGATATCATCGCGCGTTGTGAGGAATGACGAAACCATATGACTCATGTATGAAGATAATTACGCATTCCAAAGACAGCGTTTGGAGGATAAAATTGATGATAACACGTGGCGCGAGCGATGTTTTCCCACTTTACAAATTTTAAATCTACCTCGCTCTTCAAGATGCGACAACACAGGAGAAGACGCAATGTCCGTTCCGGATCGCGGACGAAGAATATACATATATCCGTGATGAGAAAAAACAAATGCGTGTCCGAGTTACGAATGTAATGTCACACGATAATGATTGCGTGTCGTGAGTACTATATATGCAGGCGCGCGCGAAACACAATACGCGTCAAAGTCGTGAGAAGGTTCCCCGCGCGGAAAAGAGTGACGGAATGATTCCTAGAGCAAGGTGACAGCCGACACTTTCTTCCCCAATTAGGCGTTTAATAAGGCGAATTAAGTCAATTAGAGAGAAGAAGCACCCGGTCGGGTGCAACGGCATCGGGGCGCCGTCGCGCGTCTTCGTCGCCAAGACGAAGGGGAGAAAAGATAAAAAGAAAAGAGAAAGAGACCGCAATAACACACTTGCCGCAACCGCGTTACGTTATCGCCGTGAGCGTCGTTTTCCGTGTCATTCTCTGTGCGCTCGCGTAAGCTCGACGTTGATGCGCGACGAGAAAATCGAGTCGCCGATCGACGGAAAGCGCGCGGTGAGAGTTTTTCTTCTACTCGATCGACGGAAATAATTAAATCCGCGCGAGTATGTGTTTACATAGCTCGCGCTGATAAAGATGCGATCGTCTCATTCACCGTAAATGTTCGTTAGGGGAAAATGTGTCGAACGTAGTTGCGCGCGAACAGATCTGATTCCGTTTTGCCGTTCCGCCGCGGAATGTCGACGATGGAAATAAAAGAGACATGGCAAACAGCGGGAAAGAAAAACGGGCAATGAAATCCCTGTGCAACACGAGCTCCGCTACGCGCCGCTAAAAGTACGAGAGAGTATTTATTCGACATATTTTCGAATCAGCGGAAGTAATAAAATACGATTACACGCATCGCATCGGGGGATCTCGTCGTGCGCATAGTCGTGCGCGAGATAGATATATTTTCTCTCCGCACGGTTATCATGACGATTCATTACGCTGATTACGCGAACGGTAACGTTCTCCGCATTCCGCGCGGAGAACGTTCCCGGCCGCAACAAACGCCGTTAGGGGGCAATACGGAAATAACAATTTTACGATACTCTACTATTACTTTTTTTTCAGCTAATTTCTAAGTTATTTTCCACCGTTGCCAGATTTGTTTTATTCACATTGTTTTCTTGTAGTTACTAAAAAGAAAATTTCCGCGATTTTGTTTCTCGCAAATTTTAATCACACTCTCAGACTGTCGCTCGTCGCATTAGTTTCCACGATGATGATTGCTGCGATCGATCAAACAACTGCCAACTGTCAAATCAACATTTTGTGTTGTTGCACACGGTTATTTTATTGTTTTGTTTTTTAATTAACAGAGATCGCTAAGATGTGTAATCGAATCGAGTTTTAAAATAAAATTCGATTTCGCGAGAAGACGAGCCGCGACGCGCGACTGATGGCCTTTGTTGTTTTCAACGTCACCATAGAGCCCCCATTCACGATGATGAGGTAATGCGCTTCGAAAGGAAAAGAAAAAAAGAGGACAAGTAAAGCCCCCGTAGTGCGCGCTACTAGGGGTGTTCGTAGGTCCGTAACGATTTTTTTGTTTGTTTCTCTCCGTCTCCGCTAAACGCGGCGGGATGACGTCAAGCGCGCGCCGCATCTGGCATATCGATCGGCAGATCTCGCGTAATAAATAACAACGAGCAACAAACGAAAGAGAAAAATGACCTGAAACGCGCGTTGCCGATTTTATCGCAAATCGATTAGTCAAGTCGATTAGTCGAATGGGTCAAATTATGCGTGGAGAGTAAAGTAACGGGTCGATAACAGTAAATAAATGTTTACACACTGTTGCAAAAAAACAAAATTCCACGCGTTTATTTCCAAAAAAAAAAAGATATTCGCATGTTTGTTTCTTTCGATATCTTGCGCGCGTGACAATCGAATTAAACATTGCGGTAATCTTCTGGAAATGCGACCGCCATTTCTGAAGTTCCATTCGGATAAATTCCTAACGTATCTCTAACGTGTTATTTAAATGCCTGTGCGCTTCCCTCTCTCTCTCTTTCTCTGACATTTCAAGTCTCTCATCATCATTCCCGCAGATTCGAGACGCGATAACAATGGCAATTACTCGCGCGAGCGCCACGTCACGTAAATGCAACGAAAAGTGACACAATCGTTGAACAATGAATGATCTATCGAAGCGGCGGCGCTTTCTCCACACCTGCCGCGTCGAAAGCGCAGGTTTGCGTGAGAAAAAGATTCGAAAAAGATAAAAAAAAACAAACAAAAAAACAAACAAAAAACAAACAAAATATAAGCAAACTCCGACAAGAACCAATAGAGATCGATCTTCGAGTTTTTTAACGGCAAAATTCAAGAGATCGATTGGGAAATGAATTTATTTTATTATGCAATTGAACACACAAAACAATTTTCGCACAGCAAAACGCTTCAGCTGCACTTTCAGCCGTTCTCAGTCGAAGAATCGAATACAATCAAATGTCAACGAAACACAAATGACAAATGTCAAAAAAAAAAAAAAAAAAAAAACTCCGATGTAGTAAACGCGCTATTGTTTCCCATGCACAATAAGCAAAGACCTTCTTTCGCGGTGAAGAGTGAAACCCAAACGCAACTCACCTTGCACGGTTCCTTGCTCTTGGTGCGACAGAATCCGGGCATCTTGATGCCGCCGATCGGTATCTTCTTCTTCGGCTTCTGTTCCTCGGACTCCAAATCGGAGGCAGGTGCCGCGCCGGTGTGCTTCGTGTTCTCGGCGTTCAGCATCTTCTCTCTCTCTTCCTCAGCAATCTCCTTCTTATCCATGCTTTTGTTCTGATCCTGATTTACTTCCTTGCTCATTCTTTGCTCCTGAAATCGAGATAAAGGCCGGTTTAATCGAGCGCTCGCCGATGTCCGACGCGAGTTCGGTTTTTTTGTTTTTGACAAATTATCGAGATTTGTTGGCGACACGCTTGAATAGAGAGAAACGTACGAAAAAAAGGAAAAGAAAATCATTTGTGTGGAGTTCTCCTCGCCGCGGAGAAGTGCGACAGATTTCAACAAGGAGTCGCGACTGGGAGATTGCGTGATGGGTCTTGGGACACTCAGTGCGCTAATCACGGCCAATTGCCATTCAACAGTTGTCGCTTGCTACGCGCCGGGATGTATTATCGTGGGCGATGATCTTCCCTTTGAGGCACGCGAAATCCGCTCCAACAGCGGACAGCAATTAATATCCCACACACATTGTGTAATTTTAAAATCCATTATTAAATAGATTTAAAAATGGAAAATTTGTACGGTATAAAATTTTTCAAACGCGCAAGATCTTCTTTTCTTTATAAGTTTCCATCAATGTAGCCGAGAAGACTCTCTTTTAAGGAGATTCTGTTGCAAAGCGCTCTACCGAGACCGTCGTCCTCGCGACTTATTTACGTTGATATTTATACTTTATATGGGCGAATCGATATCTCTCGCCTTGGAACGCGACACGGTTCAACGTTTCCTTATATATATATACTCGACAAAATTAGCGTGCGCGCAAAAACCCGGAATAATGCGAAAATTAAACCACGTGAGAGGCGCACACGTGAATGGCCTTTCACGCCGATCGCCGATCTCTGTGTCGGCAGTAATACAGAAAAAAAAAAAAAACAAAACAAATTGTTTATAACTTCTTTTTTCGCGATAAGCAATTTTATTGTACTCGCGATTTACTGTCTGTACTGTGATTGACAAAATCAGCGTTTGACGAATCGAGAGATGCAATCTGACGAACATTTCAATAATTGAATCCCGATCGAAAGGGCGACCGGTCTCCTATGCATAATGCATCAGACGCGCGATTTACGATCGCGCGTGCATCAAACAAATCTACGAAACGTCACGCGGACTTCCCTGCGAGGGAGTGCTTGGTTAAATGATTTAGCGTGCCTATCCCGATCAACCAAATTTAATTTGATTTACCGCGGCTGGCTGAGCCACTCCATATAGTCGTGACGCAGTCAGGTCGTTGCGGCTGAATTTATGAAAAGAGAGGAACGTTCAGTCAATTAAAGCAGCATATTGAAATAAAGTCCATTCAATATTCAGAATATCGCGCGCTATAATTCCACGCGAAAAATATCAAAAAATTCTGAGACAAAAATAGTAGAAATTATAATATTTTCAATATTGAAAAAATATTGAAATAAAATCAAATATGACAGTGACTTTGAGTCTGTTCTTTTTTTTTTTTTACGAAGAGCGAAGAGTCGAATATATATCGTATTGGTAGAGTTGAATTACATATTGATGAACAAATATTAATAAATAAAGTTATACACTGATCTGTAATCACATCTCTCGTTATCAGCAAAAAGTTTTGGTCAGAAATTCGCAATGGATTGAGTTTGTACAATGCGAAATGTACATATATATATATATATATATATATATATATATAGTACACTGTTACGGGACATAGACCTAACATTGCAGAGAACTTGGAAAGTGGAGAGATGCACACACTACTAGAGTTTATCCATCGACTACCTGGCAAGTTCGAGGACCGCGCGCGATCGATCGAGTTACGTCTGGTCGTCGCGACGCCCAACTATACGATGCTTGAGACTTGTCGTGTTTCTCAGAATTTATTAATACGTGCCTGCGCACTACCAAAAAAACATTGCGATAATAACACGCAAAATGCTACGGAAAAAAAATTACAAGGGTTTTTTATCTTCAGATCAATTTAAAATTACTAACAAATCCCGTACACGTTAATTTACTGCGTGCGTTTGTTGCGAACTCGCGTAACGTTGAAATTGCATATCGCTGCTATTTGAAAAAAAAAAAAAAAAAAAAAAAAAATAATATCGAACAAACAACGTAAGTTCCAGTATACGTAAAAGAAGGAATCTATCATCGTGGTGCCGTAGTAAATCTCGTAGTACGTGAGAGTTTCACATTAAGTCATAAAAAGCCTTCTCTCACAGGATCAACCGCTCTCATTCACAGCGAGAGGAAGGTATGGTGTTTCTTCGCTGGTAATATCCGCTTCGATGTCGGAACGCGATCGAAAACGAGCGTGAAGGCTAGATTTCTTCCGGTGAAAAGAGTTTTTTTTTTCATGCAAATCTCTATGTTTCCTTTCTTGTGAATTTTTTTTTTCTGTGAAAGAGAGATATCGATTTCCACCTTTACACAAATCCTGGAATATAAAATTTCATTTGATCAGATGCGCAAAAGAATATAACAGGTTGAGAATAAATAATCACACATATTGAAAATAAAATCATATTAATTTGCCAGATGAAACGTTAATTTAATTAATTTGAGATAAAAATACAAGTTAAGATTCTCGCAGTTAATTAAGGAGGTGAAACTTTGATGTTACCGCGCTCGAAGAGGCTCTCCAATTAAAAGTCGGCAAAACCACGCGAGTTACGCAAAATCGCGTCTAATAACTTTTGTTCGGTCACGTTTTCGGAATTTTACGCAATTTTTCGATCTCGCAAATCGAAGTGTTCGTAACTGTTCAACTTGTTGTCGCAACGCGAGAGACGCCGCGCGATTTTGATCAACGGTGTTTTTAACGATCGACAGCCAAACGAACGCTTCTCTCGGCTTTGCGGAACCTTAGAAACGAACGTGTGCGAACCCGGAATCGAGTTTGCATATCTCGCAAAACACAGAGACCGATTATCATCGTGCAAAGAAATCGCATCGCGGAAGTTTCGAAACAGTGCGCATCGTAACGTGATTGTATCACAAATTACATATTGTCTAGCTTGACGACAAACGTGCGCAGATTCTTCACAAACTCCGATCTTACGCATTTGAAGAAAGACGCCAGTTCACTCCGCTGGTGAGAATCGCATTTGCGCGCGCGCGCAAGGTACGAGCGGAACAAAAGAAAAAAGAAATAACTTTTGCACACAGGATGCAACGAAGAGAATTAAGAGAGAAACGCAATGCCAATATATATTTTGTTCTCAAAACAGAGAGACAAAACAAGTGAATTTGTGATTATCGCGTCGCTCCTGCTCTATAGCTTCGCGCGTGTGTTGCACACGCGGTCCTGTGTGCGGAAGCCAAAAAACTCACCCCCTCAGAACGCGTCGATCGACGCCGCTGATATCGTTGGTTTTCCTCTCGTTTGTTCGCACAAAGTAAATAGCCGATTACGGGATCATAAGCGTAGCCGACGGGAATCCGCTGGTTCACGGCGCGTTTGCGTCTCGTTCTGCGCGACGCGCGTCCTGTTCCTCGTTTCGGAGTACCGACGCAAACGAACTTCTCACAGATACAGAGAACAAAATCCACGCGTAATCACCACGAGGACGCCAAGCACGCGACTGGCGCTGCCGCCGGGACGCTTCGGGATACCGGCCGGAAGAAAGAGAGAGCGTGTTCGTGACATGGGACACACAAGAGATAGACTTTGCGTGTGAGAGGGGAAGTGAGTCAAATTGCAAAGAGAGACAGATGCTCGCAATCGTGTTTCTGTTTCTTTCTCTCAGAGCCTGGAGTGGGGACTCACCACTGAGAGGAACAACTCAAACGCCTATGTATCGCCTTGGCTATCGACCCCTCTCTACCTCTAACGCTATTTATCACCCCACTATGTGTATGTCTCTTTCCTACTGCTTTTCTTGTCCGCCAATTACCGCGTTGCTAAACAAGAATAGAGACACTGTCCGGAGCATCTATCTCTGCCTGCAATTGTATTTCTTTTTCTCGCAAAAAAAGATAGGCAAAACGCGTAGTTTTGTATATTATGTAGGTGCTTTTCAGTTAGCGACGCAAGTCGACGCGACAGTTATTTTGTTTTTTGTGTTTCTTACCGAATTATTGATAATAAAAATACATTGCCGCCGATTCTTGAAGCGCCACCTCGACGACGCCAGGGATCAACTATTCGACGCGCGTCGGTCGACTTCAACCCTCGCGCACGACTCGTCATTGGTGGATTCGAAATCAGGGTGACATGTTTCACCAACAACGGCTTATCTCGATTGGCTGGTCGAGTCGACGGAAATGACCAATCGCGCGGTCGATCGTTTGAATTGACCAATTGCGGTTTGGATCATCGAAGTTGGTAGACTGGTTTCCAGTGGAGGTTTCACTTTCCAGGGAGAGCATTGATATGTGATTCTCTTGTCACGTTAAAAAAATGAACGAACGGTTTGGGGTGATTGTAAATATTCGAAGTGGAGAGTAAAACCTAATTGTAACATAAGTAAGTTAGTCTATAGTACAACATAAGTACAATATAAATATAAGTAAACTATATATATAAATATGCAATATAATAATTACAATTTTATTAAGATTTATGAAATATAATGTACAAATTTTTTTTTCGGCAATCTCTTTCTTTGAAGAAATATTTTATTGTTTAAATGTAAAAAATATTTACCGAATCTTCCAAGAAGTAATATAAGTTGATAAGAAAAAGGAAATCGCGTCACGGTCAATCAATCGAGATTAAATACTTGACGTAAGAAACTTAAAACACACGCGTATCAATGTTATTTCAATTACTATATATGTTTATTAAAATAAGTAGATATCTGTTTTGTAGACGTGATCCGCAAAAAGAAACCAATAAGCGATGAGAATTAGAGCTGATAAGCAGCTGTCACTCATCGAACGTAGCAAATTGTTATGATTACGTCAAGCAATAGTGTCACGCAATCATATTGTTTTAATGAAACGCGCTATCACATGACGAGAATAATAACATTTTCGTGTGTTCTTATCGTGTTTTTATCGACCGGACCATTGATCTTGCGGCCTGAATGCAGAGGCTGCAAAACATGGAGGTTTCGAGTTACGCTCTCATTGTGATAGGAATCTTGAAGTTGATCGATTGATTGGTGAATAAGATCTAATAAGTGAAACAAGATCTAATTCAAGTGCAATCTCAAATTAATCTGTTTACCATAACGTGGATGAACCAAATCAAACAAATTTTTCATGTGACATACATCTCAAAGAATGTGTACAAAAAATATTTTGGTTTATTTTATTTTATTATTATTTTTTTGTTTTGATGATTGAAAACATATTTGTGCTATTTGATACGTATCTTTGTATCACACCATATGATTTTAGATACGTGTTTACTTACGATTCGTGTCACTATTGCAACATTGCGCTCACGTCACACAAACACACGATGTGATTAAAATGCACAATAAACACTCCTCTAATTTTGAATAAACACCGCTAAGCGGTTTGTGTAATTACACGCAGGAGAAAAATCTGGAAACAAGAGTCTAAATTATTCGTAACAAACAAGTTTTATACGCAATCCTTTATTATTAAAAACAGCTTTTTTACAAAATTTACAGGTATTCAAACTAATCGTACCTTTATACAAAAGTATAAATTACGTGTCTTTGTGATGCGAGAAAAAAAATTTATACTAAAGATATATACAATCGTAAATCATAAGCATATAAACATCACATATACACACACAGCTGTACTTTTGACAGCATAATAGAATGTATAAAAATATATCATGTGTGCGTATATGAATTTTACATGACGCGGGATCAGAGTTTTCAAATATCATCATGTGATGATACTATGACTATAAAGTAGTCCATCTTTTTCTCTCGTAGAAAAACAAAGAGAACTATATAAATAAATATTAATCTGCGTTCTATAGTCATTGAAAGTCTTATGTGTGTATAAATATATATAAATGTACAACACGGCAAGAATCAGATGGCATTTCCAAGTGCAATCTTCAGCTATCGATATTGTTCCTCAGTCGATGATCAAACACCATGGGTGCTCTGGTATCAAACCATATTGTATGTCCATCAAATGTTTCTTGAACTGTTTATAAAGCGGATCGGGTTGCTTCATCGTCGGTATGTGCAGTCCTTGGTCCACAAAATCGATGTATGACACAGGACTGATCATGCCAGCCGTACCCGTTCCGAATATCTCCAGTAGCTGTGACAAAAAAAAAAATCAGTTATAACAAACAATAATAAGGTTGTCACGTAAGACGCGTATTGAGTCGCGTAAGATCTTACTCTGTTCTCCGACAGTAGTCGTATGATCTCCTTCATGGTGATGGCTCTCTCCGAAATTCTGAATCGATTCCACTGTCTCGCCATAGTTAGAATCGAGTCCCTCAACACTCCGGGTAAGATTAAACCGTTCAGAGGTGGTGTGACCAATTCTATTTCTGTGAAAATTAAACAAGAGCATAGCATTGCGCTCGCGAAACAACATTTGTCTGTGTGACAATGTTTTTATACGAGTAAATATTTTATGATAAGAAAAATCTGTTTTCAAGAGAGAGAAAGAAACATCTCTCACCTCCGTCGTCGGTTTTACAAACTACGAAGACGTTCATAGTGCCTATTTCTGTGAGTTTATTGTCCTTCCCGTACAACCACAGTACTTGTTGCAAGCCTTTCTCGATGGCTTCCTGTAGCACTCGAATCGTAGGTCCGTAGTTACTGCCTAATTTGGCATCACCGTAACCGCCGGGCCACGCTCTTGTGTATCTGGGATTTGCAAGCAGGGAAATACTCACTTCTTCGTTTGTAGGTTTAAAGTAATTGCCGACGGGAGACAAGATTACATAGAGTAAAGCCGAGTCTGAGGCCGCCACTCCAAGTGTAGGCTGAAGGAAAAAAAAAAGTATTTTTTTTTTACTCTAAGCTATGTATTAGAACTATCAGTGTGCATGCATATATGAGATAATGAAATCTTTTAAAAAAGTCAATAAAATGTGTGCTTGTTGCATCAGTGTTTTATCAGCTACAAAAGAAAGTCATTTCAGACATTATACAAGACTGTTGCATCATCATCGTTATCATTATCAACTAAAAGTATCACTAAATAGTTGCGTGATATATTTCCCAATAAGATCGCAAATATAAGATAGATAACAAAATATAAATTTCCACTATTGCGTATTATTTAGTATAAAGTTCAACAAATATTCTGAAATCGCGCTTGTTTTTCTAACATCAGACGACAAATATTTAATCATCAAATCATATTCAATATATAACATGTATATATTAGATTGGTTAGAAAGTCTTTTCGTATTTTCGTATTAAAATACGAAAAAACTTTCTGACCAACTCAACAATATTGATGTATATTTTCTGCAATAAAATGTATATTTTATTACAGAAAAATATATATTTAAAATATTAAATATTTTATTACAGAAAGCAAGAGACTTCGGAAGAGAAAAAGATTAGACGTTTCAACTACGTATAGCGATAAGAACCGATTTGATAATTCGTGATTAATACATGAAAGTGTGACGTCTGACTTTCTATCATTGAATTTAACCGAAGAAAAAGCTCTTGTGCATAATTGTGAATCAAAATCACTTGTCCAAATAACACAATTCAATGTGTTACTTTTGTACGAAAACATGTGATTATGTCCTAACAAAATAATACGCAATTTATCAAGCACTATCGTCTGATATTGAAAAATGCAACGATCGCTTTTGCAACATTCTTGATGACGCCTGTGACGTCATAAGCAATACAAAAACACAGTTTCTGCCTTATTATGTTCGCGAACGTATAAAACGTTACAAAATTGGCTATGTGTTGTATCGTATATTGGGAAATGTAATCACAATGTACGCTTTAATCAGTCAAATAATAACAGAGCGCGCGCTACATTTGTTTCATCATATATCACTTTCGTTAATAAAACGGCACTTACATCGATGCCTATGAGCGTGGGACGAATGTAAAGACTAGAAGCGAGAGAATGTGGGACCCACTCCTGGTCTATGCTAATCAGTCTGCAAATACACTTGATCAGTTCCTCTCCTCGGAAAGACGGCAGACCGGCTCGTATCGCCGAATTGTTCATTCTCTCCATATTCGACTCCGGCCTGAACAGCCTTATCTTGTCATCGACTCCTCTGTAAGCCTTGAAACCTTCGAACAACTGCGGAAAGATTCGCATGTATCACTACTACCGGATTGAAATACGCGATAGAAGTTCATCACCTTATCAATATATATATACGTACATAAACGTACAAGTTAAATGTTTACTGTTCTTAATTTAGTTCTATTTTTTTGGTTTTTTTTTTCAATTTTTTTATCTTACATCAAAAACTGCGAAATCATACAAACCTCTACAGCATAATGAAGTACTTTTGCAGCAGGATGAAGAACTATACTTTCAAAAGGCATAATTTCCGGCGCCTGCCATCCGTTCATGCTTTCGTGATATTGTATTTTGAGCATGTGATCGGTAAAGTATTTGCCGAATTTAAGCTTGTCGACGTCAGGCTTGAGATTCAATTGTTCCGGGCCAGCCAGACGAACAGACAAGTCTGCAAACTGTGCGCGAATACATACAAAATTTTCATTCTTACTTTCTCTCGCTTGTGTGTAAGTTACGTGTAAAATTACACATTATTATATCATGAAAAAAATACCTTAAAGGAACGTTGCGATTCCAATTTCTTGTCTTTAGTTTTCAAAAAAGAACTCCATCTTGCGCTCTGTTGCAGCTGATTAATCAAATTTCCAATCGACAAAATCTAGAATGCAGAAACATTTGTGCATTTAATTCTGTTCTCGATGAAACAAAAACTTTCCACTCTGCATGACCTACCTTATTACATCTAGAACGTGTCATGTTTTCATTAATAATCACAGTTACGAAAGATTAGACTATCCATAAAAATACTGATAAGACACACAACTATATGTAATGCTGTATATACATATCTATTTATTTGTGTAAATTACAACTAAAAGTAGTTTGCCTCATTGCTTGTAGATTTGAAAGATTTAAAAACAACTGGTGAAATTGAGGAATTTTTGTCAAACAAATTCATCTGAACGAATATTTTGAGATAAATCGCTTTTAATTTGTTATCGTATTAATAAAAACCAAAATCTATTAAAATACATCACATGTTCCAATTTTTTTGTTTTACAACACTTTTTATATTTCTTACGTAACGAATAAGATTTCGTACATGTGCAATATATGCAAACACGGATAATCAATAAAACAGAAGTTGTTTGATGATAATTGCGATGCTAATTGAGTTTGATTAATAAATATACTAAGTTTTATTTATGATTCAACTTTCTCATTCAAAATTAATCTTTATAAATATCCATAAATTTACCAAGAAAGTTCGTAAAGCAAGGTTAGGTCAGTTTAGATCAATATTATGTAATTGATGCATAAAATTAAAATAAACAAAGTTTGATTCGTTGCGTTCATCGAAATGCTATTAATCAAAAAGTACGCGTGACAAACGCGAGAGCATGATAGCGATTAAATCGAAATATCGAACGATCCGCTGACGTAATAGCAAACATAGATCTTCGTGCGATACAGGTTTTATATTCACACATTCTTCTTAAATTTTTCATGGTAAACAAATATATGTATCAACTTCATTTTCAATTTAAACAGTGAAACACATTTTTTCTCTTCCGATTTGTGTCACCTGCAGGGTGTTAATTTACCGAGACACATTATTGTCTCTTATCAATGAAGCACAGCGAAGATGAGAGGTTAAGTTAGGTTAGATTAGTAATTAGAAAACGCAAAGCAACGTACAGTCGCACGTGACAGTCGCAAGAATGCGATTGTTTATACATATTTACATTTAGCCAAGGTTGGGTAGTGTCTAGTTAAAAAGATAAAAGTTAAGTTAAAAAGTTAAAAAGTTAAATAATTTTAACTTTATCTAGTTACATTTTTAGACTCTTATCTTTTAACTTTATTTAGTTATATTTTATCGGTAACTAGTAACTTTTTATTTCAACTCTCTTGAATCTACTATAGCCATAAGATTTTTTATTTGTTCGCATATAAAACGGAACATATTTCGTATGATCATAATTGATTTTACATTTTTATAGGCCGAAAAATTCGACCAATCACAAAGCTCAGAATGATTCGTTTTATATGCGAATAAATTCGTACGTGTTCGAGAATTGAGCCAATAATCTTCGAGGAA